CTATAAATAACTATTACACAGTCGTTTAACTTTCTACCGACTTAAAAAGGAGGAGGTACTGAATTCGACTGTATTTTTTATGTGTGTTACCTGATAAATTTTTTCTACATGTACCGATTTCGATGATTCTTTTTTATTTGAAGGCTGTTAGTTCTCATGTGGTCCTTAATAAATTTAATCAAGGTGTGATTAATAGTTTTTGAGTTATGTTTAATAATTTATATTGAAGTCGGTTGTACAACATTTTTAATTTTAAATTATGATATTATAAACTGTCGTTTAATTATTGGAAATTTATTTTTAGCAATGTTTGTGAAACCAAAATATTTATTTCTATAAAATTTTATTTGAGAGACTTTTTCGAGGTTAACATATGAGGGGTTTATATTCGACGCGTATGTTCACCGATCTAAGTTTCCAGCAAATTCTTCTTTGATCAAATAGCTTATACTTCAGGAGTGGTCTCATATAAATTTGAACAAAAAATTCCAATTATGATAGCTAAAGGGTTAATCGAAAAGAGACTTAAAGAGAAATTTTACTTTGCCAAAATCCTCTCATTATAATAAAATGATGTGTCTTCCTAATTTGAAATGCACCTCCCGCCCTCCCTCAATTGCGTGCAAATCCACGTCATCATCACGCCCACCACCACAATACTAGGAAAGACACACCAACGACGACAATACGACACGTGTTTCGCATCTACACGAGGCATCAATCAGGTGCAGTAGACTCTACGGTGGCGAGCCAACCACAAGAAGACACATCATTTTATTTCTCTAAGGCGATATTGGCAAAGTGAACTGTGTGCTCGTTTGTCACCCTTATACTATAAAAAAACGATCCTTCATCCGTCATAACGATCCGTTTTAAAAAAATTCTTACAATTGCCATTGTGTGATTTACAATTACATTCAGACAGGACAATGCATAATATTTATTTGAAAACTAAAATCGTTAGTAGCATGACATAACTGCGTAGTTCCAAAGTTCAAAAGTCACGCAATGAAAAAAAACAACAAAACAACAAAAGGACTTCCTTGACAGTCAAGTGACAGTCAACATCTATTCAATTATATTTATTCAAGGTTATGTTTTTATAAAATAAGTTTTTTTGTAGATTTTGTAATATTAACATGACGTAAGGGGTTACTGCCGTTCAAGGACACTTACTTGCGGCCAACTCAAACAAAGAAGACAACAGATGCTTTTATACGTGGTAGAGCCATGCTATAGCTATATTAGTAGTATAGTTGTAGCACGAATGGGTCAGCTCGACCGGGGAAGAACCACGCTCTCACAGAATACCAGCGTAAAATAGCTGCTTAATACTGCTGTGTTTCGTATGGTGAGTGTAGAGAACCGGAGACTCGTTTTACTGGAAAAGAGGCACTCCATCTTAGTCCTCACGGGTGACAACGCATCTGCATTTTGTTTGATTCGCAAACGAGGATAGATGTAGATGTCTATGGGCCACAGCAACCACTTACCATCAGGTGAACTGTGTGCTCGTTTGTCACCCTATCCTATAAAAAAACTTCCCAGAGAGGAACCGGCAATAATCTGGTTGTCGCGTTGTATTCTCCATGGCTAGGATCAATGATATGATATTTTTATACTAAGATGAATGAAAAAGCTTGTTAATCAAAACTTAAATTTTAAAGGCAATACACCCGACAAGACAATGTATATGAATATAATTTCGGCTCTGGATGTAAGATATTAAAGAAGTTGACAACCCTGGCTGCAATTTTAAAATGCATAACAGCTTATTAATACGAGTTTTTAGCAGCCGTTTAGATTCTTTCAATTTTTTTTCCGTCAACTGACATGTTATAAATGTCATGGTTAAATAAAAAAAAATTAAAAGAAATAAAATTTATTTTTGGTATGTACGTGTTGGGCACAGGTCATATAGATCAAGAGTTCTTTTGTCTTTGTGTGTGTTGTGTAAGTATTTGTATGTTAAACATTATCACCTTGCCATCATTGCAGGCTTTAACATTTAGCTAGCATTCTTTACATAGCTCACCTATGTATCTTTGATGCTCTAGCCATAACATCAACAACACAAAAAATTAAAAAAAAATCGTAATTTACAGAAATAACATACTGTCACTCATCTGTTTGTATACATATTCTTCATATACACATACTTCTATTAACCTATTTTCTTAAATGTTTCTTCAACGTAAAACAGTTATTTAACTGTGGAAACTGTCTTTAGAGTCTTGACGAGTATTTGACCGCCGCGCCGGTGTATTGCTGTCCGTTTTATCTGCCAACTTCCAAACCTTTTTGGTCGGCAAATTTTCTATCGACTTCAAAAAAGAGACGGTACTCAATTCGACTGTATGTTTTTTTTATGTGTTTTACCTCATAACTTTGTACTGGGTGAACCGATTTCGATGATTCTTTTTTTATATGAAAGCTGATACTTCTCATTTGGTCCCATATGAATTTGATCAAGGTCAGACCAATAGTTTTTGCGTTATTCTTAATAATTTATATTGAAGTCGGCAGTACACAATTTTTAATTTTTAATTATCGTTAAATAATGGTTTAAAATAGATTTTGATACGTAAAAAATAGTGTGATTTTGAGTATTAAATGTTTGCGCATACGAACTAATGGAAACGGTATAACAAGTACTTAATATTATATATATCACAGGATTTTTTAAATCCGTTTAGAGGCATTGATATATTGTTGTCATCAACTATCCGCTGGGTTAAGTTGTCGTCAAAATCTCCTAAGAACTTCGCATCGCATCTGTGTATTGTAAAGAGTTTTGTGAAGAAAATTATACACATCCGACTAGGCTGTATGTTATTACACCTTTGCCTGCCTTAATTGACAAATCGTAACTACAAAATGTTTATACTTTGTATACATAATATGCTGATTGTTTTCTAAATAAAGTTAAATAATAAAACCATATTGATAGAAACTCACACCAACAAAGGAAGATAGACGGAACTAAGTATATTTCAAGTGAAGTCGAAACCATGGTTAACTTTTTGACACGCACACGTACACATCTTTATTCTTTTTTCTTTATCAGTTAGTTAAAAGCCGCTGTACTCAATGCACACATGTACCCATGATTTGATTTGATTGATCCATTAAATCACACATGCATGATTTTAGATGTATCAGGTGTGTGCGAGTGCGTGATCTTACAATAATTTGAAAATAGTCTCCGTCACTTTGTTCTGACGATATAATTTATCTAATTTGCATATTACATCGTATAAATTAAATATATTTATAAAAATCAGTAGTACGATCTTTAATGATTTATGACATAAAAAATTTGCTTTTAGCGATGTAATTAAAATTTTTTTGTCGCTTGTAGGTATATATATAGTTTATTCATTCTATAGTTTTTTATAGTATCCCACAAACAGTAGGTATAGTTGTCAGTCAAAGTCAAAGTCACTGCGGGGAGACTTGAGGAGAATCGGCAAAAAAAACTCTCAAGTAATTTCCTCTCAAATGTTACAATTCAGGGTCGCTCAGCGAGCTATGTACAAGGGGTTTGCTCCGGGTTTCTATGCATGATAAACTTGGAAATGAGGATATCCGCAGTAGAACCACAGTGACCGGCATAGCCCAACGGATTAGTAAACTTAAGTAGCAATGGACCGGTCATATAGCTCGAAGAACTGACTACTGATGGGGAAAAAATGTTCTCGAGTGGCAGCCTCGTACCGGTAGGCGAAGTGTAGGTCGATCCCCCACTAGATGGAGTGACCTGCAGGAAGTCGATAGATGCAGGTGGCTCAGGACCGTGCTTTGTGGCATTCTTTGGGGGAGGCCTATGTACAGCAGTGGACTTGTGAAGGGCTGTGATGATGATGATTATGATGATTACAATTTAACCTAGTAAAATATAAATGTTAATCAAAGAAGTTTAAGGAAACTCATTATCCACGCATTCGTATATTTTAAAATAGTCATCTAATTTATAATATCATGTTTTCCGTTGTCGCACAGATTTTGTTCGCTGTGTCTGTTCTACTACATATTACTTCAATGATGGAAAATAATATTTTTTGGTTGTAGTCGTTGGATTTTTATTTTTAATTGACTTCTAATAAAGGGGGAGGTTTTTAACGTTCTTGTATGCTAAAGTTAGTAAAAAATTACTTCGCGTACATCCGCTCGATAAAATAAAATGATGTGTCTTACCTAGTATGAAGAGCACCTCCCGCCCTCCCTCAATTGCGTGCACTATCACCGTCACCACTAATCCCAGCATGTTAATTCTATTAATATTCTTGTATGCGTTACGCGATGCTTCTATCTATTTTTTTTGAAAACGTTACTTCCACACTAGGGTGTTCTCCTGTATCGCGGAGGCAGTTTACAAACATAGATTTTTTTTAATAGGATAAGGGTGACAAACGAGATGATCCACCTGATGGTAAATGGTTGCTGTGGCCCATAGACATCGACATCAAACAAAATGCAGATGCGTTGCCACCCGTGAGGTGCAGATTGCACGAGGACAAACATCCAGACCCGGAACAATTATTTGTGGGCCATACAAATACTTGTTCCGTGCGGGATTCGAACCCGCGGCCCCCAACGCCACAACTCATTGCTAAGCCACTGCGCCACGGAGCCGTAAATTGCGAATCGTCTGTTGTGAACTGATTTTAATGTCTTTTTTTATTTCCCTTCTTGTGATAATGTATACTTACTGCAGACAATCTCTAATCGTAACATATTTTTAACCGACTTCAAAAAGGAGGAGGTTCTCAATTCGAATGAGTTTTTGTATGTATGTTACGCGATATCTTCGCAGATTACGGACCAATTTTAATGATTCTTTTTTTATTAAATTGGAGAAAAAATTCCATGCTTAAAATTAATAACTTAAATATATAACTTCTTTTTTTTTACTAATTTGAAGTCGGTTTTTACTTTTTCTTAAAAGTTATAATTATCTTTTATAAATTTAATTCATCAAAACTTCTCTTTCTTTTCAGAAAAATGGACGAACAAAGCTCAAAAGGCGCACCGACAATCATCACGTAGACAAATCGACTTTTATTATCAATGATATACCATTTCGATATCAATAAACTGTGATTGAAATTGGAAATTGATCTCTTCAGTCTGCAACTAGTTTAGATGAGAATTTAATTAAGTATAATTGAAGAATTAAACTGAATAATTTAAAGACAAGCTATATTATAAATCGAAAATGCCGGCCATCTTGTCAAAGATTAGAGAGCAGGCGTTTAGGGTTCAGCCGACGATAGCCGTGGGAGTCGGTGTAGGAGTGGCTCTAGCTGCTTGCGCCGTGTACGGAACCAGAGAAAAGAAACAGCCACCGCCCTGCCATAACAACAATAATTACAAGGTAAGCTGTATTTTGTTTGTACAAGTAAGGTTGACAAACGAGCACACAGTTTACCTGATGGCAAGTGGATGCTGTGGCCCATAGACATCTAGGTATCATATAATCTCTACATCTATCGTCGATTAAGAATCAAAATGATGTGTTGTCACCCGTGAGGACTAAGATGGAATGTCTCGTTTCCAGTAAAAAGGGTCTCCGGTTCTCTACACTCACCATACGAAACACAGCAGCATTGAGTTGTTATTTTACGCTGGTATTTTGTGAGAGCGCGGTCCTTCCCCGGTCGAGCCGACCCATTCGTCAATCCATAATATAGCTGCAAAAACCATAATATAGATATCTACATTAAATCCTCGATTAAGAATCAAAATGCAGATGCATTGTTACCACTGAGGACTGAGACGGATACATCGTTACAATTTTAAAAGCACTCCGGTTTTCGTCACTCACCATACGAAGTACAATGTGGTGTTGCAGCAAGTTACTTACAGCATGTAAGTAACTATTACACAAAGCCTCCGAAGGCTGTGTTAGGCTTATAGAAGAATTAAATCGCGACTTCAGAAGCTATGTCTTATTTGGAAACTATTTTATTCCTTTCAGTACGTTGATGTCGGCTTTCTCTTTTATTAACAGATTTTGAACCTTCTTTTAAGTGGGTTAAGGAATATCACAAGTTTAATTTAGAATGCCGCCTTATTAGTTACATCTTCACAAAATCACAAAATCTTCATCCCCTATTTTTCCCACTCTTAGGAGTCCTATATTTTCTCCAAATTTGTTCTCCACCCGTACGTTATAGCCTATTTAATTAAAAAAAGCATTATTAAGTACGAATACACAATAGTCGAATTTTGTCGAATAGTCCTTTTTAATAATAATACTAGCGCGCCAGACAGTCGTCGTTCTGCCCTCTCCGACGACCGTTTGTCCTATAAAGAATCCTTAAATTCCTAATAAAAATATTGAGGGTCATTTATCGGGATAAAAACTATCCTATCTCTCAAGTTGAACCAAACTGAATGTAGTGTGCAAAATTTTATTTAAATCAGTTCAGTAGCTTAGGAGTCCATCGCGGACAAACAACGTGACACGTAATTTTTATATATAAAGATAATAATATTATTTATTTCGGACAGCAAAAAACCTATTTTTTTTTTATTGTTGAGACTGATCAAATAAGAAGCCTTAGGTGGATTATCCCCCACACAAAATGCTTTATAATAGGGGAGGTACTCCCCGCTACCGTTTTCAGGATGTTGTTGCGACTAGCGTGTATTCTTGTAACTATTTTAATCGGCCAAAAAATAGACCAAGCTCTTAATGAATCAAAATGTCATATTGTGTTTAGTAACTCTTATCAATAGCTGTTTCGTACATTTGAGAGCAAACTACACCGGAGGTGTACAGCAGAAGTGCGGTGGTTTAATTTCTAATTTTATTTAGTTTCTATATTGGAACACAGTCCGTGTACGTGTACGTATCTAAAGTTTATACATGAATGTAGGACATATTTTTAAAGTGAAAACTTCTTTAGAATCGTTGTGATTTGACACTCGATAAAACGAAAAAGTGACACTAAAAAGAGACAAACATATACATCTATAGGATTTAGCCTGCGAGAGAATGAGATAGAATACAGTATACAGTGTTTCCTAATATCTCGGACGTTATTCATGTAATGTAATGTATTTAGAATAAAATAAGAAAATAATTTTTCAACCTGGTAACAATATTATAATAAATATTACTATTATATTACTATCCTACTTCTCATATTCTGCATTCGTCTTGTTCTCTCGAAGTTTAGTTTTCTAAATGTTTCATACCGCGTGTGAACTGTATTTATGTGTATTTTAACTTATGAATGGGCTTATTTTGTTGGACATATTATAATCATTATAATCCTTATCAGAAATAGAACTTAGTTTTCGTATCGGAAATCTGTATTACCTATACTATATACTAATTACTACTACTACTATAGTCATAACTTAAAATTAACGTTTAATACAAGTAACATTCTCTGTTTTTTATTTTAACTTTTAAACGAAGTATAACCTTCATGCTTCGTTTAAAAATAAAAATATTCACATTTAAAACATCTAACTACAGACCGCACTAGGCAATTAATCAAAAAATTTAATGTCAGGAATGTACCACAGTGTTTTTCAATTATTTATAATGGACCATTTAAGAATAAAGCATTATAATAAAAATTTTAATTAAAAAAAAAAACAAAACTGCTATTTTTTCAACTGCTATATTTTACCAAGTATTCTGTGACAGTTACTCTATGACAAGTAAGGTTATAAGTCAAAACGTCAATATAATATTAAATATAAATACTCTTTGTATATTTAATGCCATAATAAAAAACTAAAACTAAAAACTTAAATTACCATACATTTTCCTCGTATCAAAGGTGAGTGTTGTACTCGCCGTTGATGTTAATACCGTATCCTTTCCAGTCAAAAGAGTCCAGTCTCCCAATGCAGCGGTGAAGAGTTTCGGGGATATAACGTCACCCTGTCTTACACCTCTCTGCAGTTGGATAGGTTTCGTACTCTGGTTCTGTACTCGGATAGCCATCGTAGCCCTACTGTACAAACACTTCAGCACTTCGATATACCGGCAGTCAACTTGGCACTGCTGAAGGTAATGCAGCACCGCCCAAATTTCGACGGAATCAAAGGCTTTCTCATAGTCCACATACGCCATACATAATGGCAAATTGTACTGCTCGGACTTCTGTACAATTTGCCAAAGGATATGTATGTGGTCTATGGTGCTAAAGCTTTTTCGGAAACCGGCTTGTTCAGGAGGCTGGAAGTCGTCGAGTCTGCGTGCGAGACTATTCTGGAAAATCGGAAGGGAAATCGTTCTGTAGTTCTTCAAGAGAGCGTTGTCGCCTTTCTTGAAGAATAAGACTACCGCACTTCTGCTCCACACCTCCGGTGTAGTGCCACCATGGAGGACGGAATTAAAGAGCTTCTGAAGGACTTCAAGTACCGGTTTTCCACCCGCTTTCAAAAGCTCCGCTGTAATTCCATCCTCGCCCGGGGGGTTGCCGTTTTTAAGGTGCTGGAGAGCCATTCCAATCTCGCTCAGACTGACGTCCGGGATATCATCGGAATAGGGTCGGATAAGACTTGCTCTTGCATCGTCACTCACACTTACGTGTGGCTCCAACGATGATATGTATAGCTGCCCGTAGAACCTCTCAATCTGACTCAAAATATTAGGTGTCCCGGAAACGACGCTGCCACACTCGGTCTTCAGCTTCGACAGTTGGCTCTTTCTGGCAGACAGATCTAGAGAATAGACTTTAGAGCCCTGGTTCCGCACGATCGCTTCTTCAATACGAGTAATACTAGAGAAAATCCTAGTGTGGAGGTTACGTTTTATATAAAAGAAAAATAGCCCGCCCATTGCCACTTAAGCTTACTGATCTGTTGGGCTATGTCGGTTACTCTGGTTCTACTGCGGATATCCTCCTTTTATAAATCTGTCAGTCAGAGAAACTCCGAGCATAGACCATTCCTTAGTTCGTCGAGTGACCTTGAGCTTGTTTATACGCTGTTAGTATAATGTCTATAAATTTAAATAAACGTTAATTATGCCTAGAAAAATTTGAAAAAACTTGACTAAATGGCGCGAAACTTTGCACTATCATGTTAATTTCAAATATAAGATAATGAGCGTTACAAAAGTATCTACTTGCGAAATTTAGCAGAACATTTTAGCCAAATTATCGTTAAACTTAATTATGTGTCGTAATGTATGTTTTTATATCTTTATATTTTGGTATTCATTTATTCAATAAAGTATATCAAAGTTAGATCCTATCAAAAACCGTGTTCGATCCCCGCCGGCACTAATAAAATTGTTAATTGCCATTTTAAGTGCTGATTTATCTTGTGCTCGGCGGTGAAGGAAAACATCGTGAGGAAACCTGCATGTCTGAGGATTAAGAAAAAATATTTTGAAAGCATGTGAAATTCGTCAATACGCATTGGGGTAGCGCGGCGGACACTTCCTTGCCCTAAAACCCACTTAGAAATGAGGGGAGGCCTGTGCCCAGCAGTGGGACGTATATAGGCTGTAACTTTACTTTACTTTTATCAAAGTTCGCTGCTGAATAGATAAACTCATTGTTGTCACGGTTGGCAGGCGGGTTGGCAATCGTGTTGGCGTGTCTGCCGCCCATGCGCTATTTTAGTTTTCTACTCTTTTTATTTCTTCTTTCTATTCTTTTTTTATTTGAAAGCTGGTGCTTCACATGTGGTCCTATATAAGTTTGATCAAGGTCTGACTAATAGTTTTTGAGTTATTCTTAATAATTTATATTGAAGTCGGTTGTTACAAAATTTTTAATTTTTAATTATTCTCTCTGTTGCTTCTTACGACACACATGGGATAATTGGGGTGGTGGATTCTCGCACCGCCACTACACAGTGTATTTTGTAAACAATATTAAAAATTGTTCAAGTTATGTATTAGGATATGCGTAAGGTGGGGGTCCGCTGTGTAGTTAATCTGCAATGTCCTAAGGTGTATAAAGCCTTGTAAAGCCTTGCGAATCATCCTTATAAGGAATTGGTGTTCTTGTTCCAACTTCCAGGGAAGTCGGCAGTCTGTGAACACGTACAGGATTGCCCCTTACACTACATCATGTTTGATAGACCGCAAATGCTCGTTAAAGAACACTAATTAGAATCATTCGCAAGACTATTGAAATTAATAATCATCTTATTTTCAATAGAGAAGATAGCTGGGTATTGCCGCATGCTTGGGATCCTATCTATACAAATAAATAAAAAAAATTACTGATGTTACAAGAAGTAACTTAGGCTACTTTTATTTTAGAAAAGAATTAGAGTTCCGCGCAAAAATTAAAACCCATGAAATCCAATCGTAATAAATTACGCGCGGGCGAAGTCGCGAGGAACAGCTAGTAATTAATAAAATTAAACACCAAGCCAAGCATACAACTGCAA